AAAGAGTTGGTAAGCTTGTCAAGAAGAGTTGGTAAGCTTGTCAGCACAGAGCTTTCCAGCCAGCTGAGCAGTACTGCACGATGGCCTTCTAAACCTGGATGAGGTGAAGCCTCCAGAGAGCTCTGTTAGGCCAAAAATCTCAAAAGCAAGAGACCTGCAATCTAACCGTGCTGCATAGGAAGACCATGCATGGCCTGAAGGCAAAGCCTAAAACTACTCTATTTGAGAAGTCTACCTTCTTGCACAAGCAGTAACTGCTTCACTTTTGCAGCTAGCAGCTCCAGGCACCACTGCAAACTTTTGTCTAGGTGAGAAATTAGCATATTTGCATTTAAAATGAAGCACCTCCTTTCACAGCATGGATTCTGGTAGAACTGAGCAAAAGAAAAATACTGTTGACATCTCCTAAGTTTTCCTCCCCATTTTATTCTTCTCTCATGTCAGCCCCCTTGTAACACTTACCGTCGGAGCAGGAGCCATAATGCCCATTGGTACTGGAATCATGGGGGTCCCTGAGAAAGACAAGACATTAATATTAGTCTGCCCTGCTGAGATTACCAACGAATACAAATTAACTGATCACAGGCATTATTTCTGAACCAGACAGCAATTTTAGTAAAATAGAGTTTTCGTAGTACTGATTGCCAGTAATTTCTTAAGCCATTTGAGCACAGCCTGAGTGCGCTCACCTGCCGGGGGCACCCTGGCTGCTTTGATCTTATTTCAACTTTGTCATGACCAAATCTGTTTTCAAAGCACTTTCAAACCACGGCAGAGTGCTACAGATGATAATCTCCTTCCTCTCTTGCTCCCTTCTCATAGCACAGTCGATTCTGCATATGGCTTCTGGATGAGCTCCTGCAGAGAATGCCACCAGGCTTCATGCTGCTATTTATGGGATAGCTGAATGAAGGTGACATAGAAAACCTCAACCCAGAAGCTCCCTACCTCTCTGACTTGGTGGTCTCTGAAACTTAATTTAAAACCATACTTAATTAGGTGAAATCATGAGATACTCTCTTTCCCACTACCAAACTCACCAGAAGCTTTAAGTACTATCATGTGAGACAAAATCTGATTGTAATGCAGACTGTTTACCTCTCCATGCCAGCTGCCAGAGGAGGTTAAAGATATTAAGTGAATGGATTTCAAAACTACTTGTTGGCCAGTAAGGACATTGAGACTCAAGAACAATGAAGTCAATCTCATGTTCATCAGAGAAATACACTCCAGGATCCTGGATCTCTTTTTTTCATTCAATAACAACAAAAAAACTTTCTTCATCTTTCACTCTCAGTCCTTCCCTTCTGATCCTTTCCTTTTCCCTCTCTTACTGCTGTGTTAATAAAATCCTAACCCAGCTTCTGCAACCTACTGTTTCTGGACTTGGTTCTCCCACTTTCTCCAATGCTTAGTCCTGAAATGACCCTGCTCCTCAGACACTCTCTCCAGATTTCTCCTCATCCATTCTAGTTTTGCTTTGATGCCATAACTTATTTTCTCCACCACTCAATCCTCTTCCTCAGTCCCTTCATACTGAAGTCATACTACCTTCTCTCCCAACAAACCATTCAGAGAATCAAAAGCTGTATTGTTCTCCCATGCTCTCAGTTTTAATGCAGCATGGCATCTCACAGGCTGGAGGCCCTACTCCAAGACAAGACTCTGGTTGTGCAGCTTTGAAACTACTGTAACTATAATTAACATGATGCCAAACTTCAAATTCCAAGTTGCAACACAGTAAAGATATTTGTGTTATCTCTGTCAGTTCTCTTGACACTATCAGCCAGATGTTCAGCAGAAGCCAAAAAATGCCACTAAAATGTTGGGCATCATCAACAAACATACTGATGGATCAAGACCATCGGTACGATTTGGATGTTGTACAAAAACCTGGTGCACCCTAGAAGAGCAACTACACAAGCACTGAACCAGCTGCTTTGCTATGAAAGAGTCTATGCTCTCAAGAGTCAAGTGTGGAGGTTTGCAGGGTGGGGAACATGACTAAGGTGTTCAAAACCACCAAATGCAACTCACCCAGCTCCCACATCAGACCTGGGGCAGAAGTATGGACACTAAGTAGGCACTGAATTTAAAGACTGACGTAAGAAAGTAACACCTTACACAGTGGTTAATGAACTTCTCAAATTCGGTGCAAGAGGTGACAGTGGGGCTGGACAGTATCAGCAGGTTCAAAGAGCATCAAAATGTTCATGAATGACAGGTCCAGAGAGAGGAAAAATGAGAGACTTGCTCTGACATCCCTAACACTGCAGTCAGGGGAGGGAACAGACTCAGAAAGCAGATGGCTGTACACGTCACCCTGAACAACACCTTGTATTCCCACTGCCCAAAAAATGTACCAGACTACACGGACTGCTGGTCTGGCCCCCTGCAGCATTTCTTACATACAAACCACAACTTTTTACATGCTAATGGTATTCGATTATCTTTGGACATGACAAGAGTTACAAATCTTCCTAAGATCAAGAGAGAAAGGTTATTTCTTATTTTTAACAGCCATATTTTTAAGCAAAGCAGAACACTTTTCCTAACTTCATTCATACACAAGAAAATCTCTCTAGCTGAAACTTTTTAAACAAATTATAGGCAGAGTAGCATAACCAGCACATGAAATTTTGGCCAAAGAGTAGCTAAAGATTCTCTTACAAGCCACTAAAACTGTGATCTTGTGTATAGAAGAACTTCAGAATTGTCTTCCATCATCAGCATTTTCAACTCTACTGCTACACCTGTGCTAAGGAATGAGAGATCCATATCCTCTCTGTGTCAAAATCTGTTAGGTGCCCAGGTAGGCAGATCATCTTTCTAGTGTTCAGAAAAAAAAATTAATTCTTGCCTTAATACCAGGCTCCTCCCCTCTACACACTGTTTGGATTACTAATACTGAAACAAGACTATTTTATATAAGAAGTCAAACACAGCAAAGGAACAAAAAGTTATTTGTTGCACATGTTAAGAAGCAAAATCTTCAGACCAGAAACTTATATCAGGCATTCTAAAATATTACTCAGAAGGTTATTTTTAAAAGTACCTGGTATTTTTCACACTCGTATATATAAACTAGAGCTAGCACAGGTAAGAGCTATAGGTTTAAAAGGTAACCCCAAATTTTTGATGGCAGATTGTTATCTAATCAAGAACTCTGCCTTTCACAAAAAATAGGTAACATCTCAATGATCTCAGAAAAAAATGCAAGTAAGGATTCACCTGATGAATGGACGTGCACAAACCATCCCTGAATTCAGCCACCTTGTTTTTTAATATCTTTATTGTCTGCAAAACCCTTGTGCACAACACAGCTTAAGACCACACAGACAGGAGTTATTTTCTGCAGCCCTTGTGATGAAAACTCCCTGATGTATTCCTCTCTTCCACTTGTTCTGTGCTCTCCTGTCCCTAGTTCCTGCTATCTGAGATGTACAGAAAGGCGATTCCAGACCAGTGAATTCAAGTGTCAACACAAAAAGCAGAGGCTGATCTTACAGATGAACAAAGTAAAAAGGTGGGATTAATCTGGGGAAGATCAGAAGGAATGTGGAACTTAACAGTATGTTTGCAAGATGTGGAAGAGAGTATGTAAGCAGCAGAATGGAGAAAAGCGATGCAAGAAATTGGACCTCCTCTGAAAGTCAGTCCTGTGTTTTCACACCACACGTACCCTGTGTACCCACCTGCTTCCAAAGGCTGGTACAATGGCTTATCTGAAAGGAACTGAACCAACTTATTTGAAATGAACCATCAAAAAAAACAGCTCTTACAATACCTGATGTTAACATAAATAACTACCTGGCTTCACTCTAGAGAAAAGGTCCAAAACAAAGTCCCTAATGATCTAATTACTGGTGAGAAGTAAGCAGCTTTTGGAGGGCCAAAAGGAGCTTGCTCGCCTGACAAGACCTGTGGATAAACTAGAAACTCAACTGCAAAGCACATGCATCAGTTACTGAAATATATTAAGAGCCAGTAACTTTTGTAAATAATCCAATTCAGAATAATGAAAGGAAATTTATTTCTACAATACTTCCATATACTAACATAACTTACCAGGAGGTACAGGTGGTGGAAAGCCAGGGAACTGTGGAGGTGGGATCCCGGGGGGAAGTGTGGGGATTCCCATAGGAGGGCGATTCAAATGAGGTGGAAAAGACATTCTTCCAGTCAGGAGCTGCCAACGACATGAAGAGAAAATTGTGTCAGTCAGTTCCCAAACGCCAGGTACAAAAGCAGGACAAATCCTAAACATCCTTAATGATTTTAAATCCTTATATGGACATTCAATTACAAACTAAAATATTTTAAACTCTTTTTCTGTGGGTATTCATTAAGTTACAATGGTAGTAGAAGTTTCCTTTCACAGTGAAAACCGGTATTTCTAGGGAAGTGTTTCAGAATGAAGTGAAAGAACTTTGACTCCTCACACCAATCCTTTACCAGAAATGTGAATTAAACAGCATTTAACAGTTTGTACAGTTTCATTACAGCTTTTTTTGCAGTATCTGAAAGCAGAAGCGATCTTGTAACACATTTTCCATAAGGCAAATAGTTCTCTTGTATGAGGAATGATCACACACACTACAATTTTGGAAGAAGTGGGACATCTTAATTAACAGGAATTATATTTAAGACAACATTGGGGACATACTCAAATTCCAGCATAGAGACAGTTAAAAGCCTGGAAGAGGGTTCTCTATCTATTTTTAAACTTCCCAGTTCACTCATCTTCTAGAACTCAACCTGGATGATAGCCCATGAGAGTCAATGTGCTACCAGAGTAAAGATTGTTTTAACATCATCCACTGACCAGATGTATGTTACTGCTATGTGCATATTACTGACCTTGTAACAGACACCACCCAAAAATAAAAAACCCAAGACCACTCTTAACACAACTAGCAAGGTTGTTATTCTTGCTTCCAGTATCATCTCAGCAACCTTGTTTTGACTCTTCAGAAATGGTTGGCCCTCAGTTCTAAAAATACCCCCAACTGGTCACCAACATCCCCACTGAGCTTCAAGGTGCATTCCCGCTGCAGAGAGGAAGCTCTAGAGAGGACAGTGGACAAGGTCCTGGCAGTCCTGCTGGGTAACAAGTTAACCACCTGCCATCAGCATGCTCCTGTGGCCAAGAGGGCCAATGGTATCCTGGAGTGCATTAAGAAGAGTGTGACCAGCAGGTTCAGGGAGATTCTCCTCCCTCTTTACTCTGCCCTGGTGAGGCCACATCTGGAGTACTGTGTCCAGTTCTGGCTCCCCAGTTCAAGAGGGACATGGAACTAGTGAAGAGAGCCCAGTGGAGAGCTCCAAAGCTGAGGGGACTGTAGCATCTCTGTTACGAGGAAAGGATGAGAGACCCGGGTCTGTTTAGCCTGCAGAAGAGAAGGTTGAGGCATAATCAACGCTTATTAATATCTAAAGGGTGGAGATCAAGAGAATGGGGCCAGGCTCTTCTCATTGGCACCCTGTGGTAGGACAAAGGGCAATGGATACAAACCGGAACACAGGCAATGGTCACAAGCTGGAGGACAGGAAGTTCCACCTCAACATGAGGAAGAACTTCTCTACTGTAAGGGTTATAGAGCACTGGAACAGGGTCCCAAGGAGGCTGCGAGGTCTAGACACTTTAAGACCCATCTGAATGCGTTCCTCTGTGACCTGTCCTAGATTAGATGGTCCTGCTCTGGCAGGGGAGTTAGACTAAATCTCCAGAGGTCCCTTCCAACCCCTAATGTTCTGTGAGAGGAAGTTCCACTTAACATAAGGAGAAACTTCTTTCCTATGAGGGTGATGGAGCACTGGAACAGGCTGCCCAGAGAGGCTGTGGAGTCTCCTCCACTGGAGACTTTCAAAACCCTCCTGGATGAGTTCCTGTGAAACCTGCTCTAAGTGAACCTGCTTTAGAGTGGGGTTGGATTGGATGATCTCCAGAAGCTCCTTCAAGCCTCTACCCATGTTTGATTCTTAGATGCTTTCCCCAGCTTCCTAGCACTGAACACACAAGAAACAGGAAAGGAGCTTTGGAGACAGACATGTCTTCTATACATGTACCAGAGCAAGCAGTTAGTGACAGTCTGAACTGCTGGAAGAGCTAATACCAGTACTCTGCCACTACAGCAGACACATTTGAAAAGAGTTTAAAAAAATTATAATAGCAAAACTTTATTCTCACAGACTCTGGAAACAATTGAGATGTTCATAGTGGACCAAAGAGGAGGAAAGGGAAACCCAAATATAATATTTTTAATCACAAGAACGTATTTATTCTGGTATAAGAACACATATATGACCCTATAGCATAATTCACTCAAAGACACATTGACTACTCCATCAGGTACAAGAAGTTCATGACCACGGCATTCATTAATTGGCCCCAAAGGGCATACATTCATCAACATCTCACCAGGAGAAAAGATAAAAGCTTCTGTGGCACAAGGTCTAAGATGGTAGGAGGAACAAGAGAGCAAATGCAAGCACCCCTCCAGCAGTTCAGTAACATTATTTTATGCAATATAATAAGCATAAGACCTTTTTTCTTTGCCCCATTAGAATCCATACGCCTAAGAACACAGTTCTAAAGGGCAAAGAAAAGCAGCAAAGGTGTACTGCCAAAACATTTTCTTTGGAAGAACATTGTTTATTGTCTCTTCAGACTATGTGTACACCAGCCAACATTCCTCCAGAATGTGAAACTTGGGACAGTAAGGAAACAAGCAGAACACTCATATCCACTTTGGTATCACTACGTGAAATTCTTTCACCAAAAAAAAAGCCAGACAATGGTCCCAGGAAAGACAGAAAACTAAGATCTTTAACATTCTCAGTTCTCATGTGCATTGCAAGTTGATAAGACAACTGGACAAAATTTAAAGCTGTTTTTGGGCAGGATGGTAGAGCAATAAGCTACTGGGCCTGAAATGGTTCCTTAAACAGGCTACAACAGCACTACACCATCTGAGGTCCACTAAGCATTAAGGAGTGGTCTCTTAAACAAAAAAGAACAATCAGGGAAGTAATTTTCCAGGCTGCCTGTAGGTGCAGTCTCTCTTCTCGCTCTGATAAGCACCTTATCTGAGACACCATTTTGGAGAAGCTAAAATAATAAAAAAAAAAAGCCTAGGGACTAAGGATGAAACAGTTCTTTGCATTAAATGATGCTGCAACATACCATTCTCAATGGATGTTACATATGCACACAGGCAGTCCTGAGTTTTTAAAAATTTAAATAAACAAAGCAAAGATTTAAGAGTCACCAAAGTAATTGTTACTGCATAAAAGGAACAAGGCAGTTACTAAGAATGGATCCAATTTAGTCTTTCAATCTTCTAGTCAGATGATGTGAAATACACTGTTATCTGTAGGGCTTCAACAATCCATTTTACATGAAACACTCTGTTCTTTCTTTTTCCTTCCATATTTGTACAGTTATTTGCACAGCAGCTAGCAAGCTGCCCTGCTCCTGACTCAGCTCTTGCACAGACCAATCTCTGAAGATCAACACCAGAATTAAAGAAAGCCCTGGTCTCTTTCTTGCTATTATATCTAACTACCAATGTGAATGAAAACCCCAAGGACCAGCAGACACCAAGACTGAAACTGCTCACTGGAGAATTGAGAGGCCTGGATGAGAGAGGAGGCACCCAGTTCCTCACAGCAGCCAAGATGCTGCAGTGAAGGGAACCACGTAGCACCTTGTTTGTCAGCTGCTGGAGAAGACAGAAGAAACCCACACTCTTCCAGCAGTCAGAGGGGCCTCTGACCAGTGCCTGATACATTTACTGTGGTCCTAGTATTGCATACGGTGACCTCCACATTTCCCTACTGTATTCAAATGTGAAAGTAAGGAACTGAACAGTCCCGAGATACTTCTAGAACCTCAGATGACTTACAAAAAGCATTATCTCAGGTAAAATTGTATGCAAGCAGCATTCCTCACAGCTGCATTTTAAGTAGGAGCCCTTTAAATGAGAGGTGAACTTGCATGAAAGTTGTAGTGATAACAAACATAAGGGGGTAAGAGAAGCCATGAGCATCTGGCCTGAACACCATAACTGAGCTGAGACCCTAACGTCCACACTACACATTTTGAGGAGGGCCACCCTGCTGGAATGAACATCCATCTGCAGGTGAGAGTCCATTTTTAAATCTATTTTCATCCAAAAGGAATCCATTTCACTCACTAGAACAGCGCAATCCAATGTGGAAAATAAAAAAGGTTTCCCAAGCCAGGATGACTGGGAGACTGTCCTCAAAAGCACAGCACAGTAACCCAGGTGCCCACTCTGGCAGAGACTACAGTTTTTGTAGGCTGCAGTTTCATGATGTCGTGGATGGCAAAATATCTAAGCTCACCCTACGCAGACCTAGGTCAAATTCTCAGCCCAAGCTATTAACTAAAGCAAGTGCCACACAAGCACAGCTATAAGATTCCAGGTTCAACTTTGGCCTAGAAGGAGTTCAGTTGCTTTCAGGCACTGCTCTCCTGTGGAACCAAAGGCCCAGCAGAGCCAGCTGCACCCATCTTCCCAAATCTGGAGAGAGCAGGGACACCCATACAGCTCCAAGGACTGAGAAAATCCACTGGGACTTACTGGCTGGGTGCTGTCCCTGTGGGCCAGAGCTCAGCCCATTAGAAACACACTGGCTCTGTCTGAGACATGACCAGAGGAGTGCCCAGGGCTGGGCTCAAGTGTCCCAGACCACACAGAACTGAGGGCTACTGCAAAACAAGGGTCACCACCCCCAGACACTGCTGCCCCGTGCTTCTCTGTTGTCTCTGACTCCCAAAAGTCCCAGGAAGAGGAGACTGACTATATAAAAAGATTGTACTGGTCTGACTGGACTGTTAATTTTACATCACATTATTCTTTAAACTTTTTAATTTTTAATAAAGGCATGGAGAGATATGTCATAAACAGAATGCAAGTTTAATAAAAATCACTGGTAACTAATGCATTTTAAACTGACAATTATATCAGCTAGTCAGGGCAGCATCATAACTCTACCAGTGTCAGGGGATTAATCTTCTTAGCACCTGTGTCCATACATCATAACTTTTATTTAAAAACCTGCAAAATATTTTAGCTTTTCAAAACAGTTAAGAAACAGTTATAATACTTAATGCTGAGCTGCTGTTATACTAAAAGATAAAATTAACT